TAATATTAACGTTCCGTAAAGCGATTAAACCGTTTGACATGTAATGTCGTTGATTGAATAATATTCTATAAATGAATTATACTCTGTATATAATATCATCCATTTAACGATATTCCATCAATTAATTTCATCTTGGTATGTAACATGTTACTTCATGTATTTTGAAATATTCCATAAATTATTATTCACTTTGACTGTCCAATTGCAATCCCGCTGCTAAATCCTGTATATATTAAGTCTAAAATATAAATACAGACAGGGCCTTGGTAAATTTTCATCGAGCCTTCTACGGCCTTAGTAAATTTTCATCGAAAAATTTTCATTCATTTTCTATCCTCGGACCTTCGTGTCGCGTCACAATGCGTACATTATTGAGAGAGAATATCGTCCCGTGTCCTTAAATCCACCCAGAAATCCTTCTTTAAGGAACGTCTGTAATAAATGCATTACACCGAAGAAACCAGGTCTACGTGTGCCCTCGTTTGACAAACGGGATAACACTTCGGTAAAATACATACGAATTTATTTATTTCTACAGCACGTTCCGCGAGCTGAAAAATAGAATTATCCTTCAAATACTCTCCTCGGCTGTATCGATCTCACAAGACGAACACGCTTTTACTGCCGTACGATACGCGTTCTTTTGTTAGAGATATCGCGGAAGTCGGAGTCGAGCAAAATTCTCATCTAGATGGAAATATCGAATAACGAATAAAAGATAGGTAACTATGGATTCATAGGTTCATGGATTAGTCGTCGAATACCGATCAGGATTTGAATTATAGAATGAAATATTTTGCCAGATGAGCAAACGAACATTTTGTTGCTGCGCTTGACATGCACTGACGATTGAAAAAAAGAGTCCGCTACTTTTCCAAATGGAGTTTCAAAAAATTTTGAACAAAAAAGATGCTTAGAAGGAAGTTTCAGCGTGAACGAGGTAAAGTTCCCTTGCGATCGTACTGAATGAAATTTAGCCACTACACGGAATGAGGAAAGCATTCATTATGGATGTGATGTAAGTCCACGATCGCGTATGGTCTCATGTTCCTTGACCCACAACGGCAATAAATTATAAGAACACGATGGAGTCGTCGTTGTGCGTACCACCTCTACATCGCGATTATTTCAAAACCTTTCACAGTTGGCTATAATATAACGACCACTAAAAACACACCTACTCGAATTAATGTACAACTCGATAAACGGATGAATTGTGATTAAATTAAAATATCGTGTAGACAACATAAAATTAATGGAATTTTAGTCTTTGTTTTTGTTTTTATCGTGTACGAAAATATAGACGCGCATATTCGAGTATAAGTGTGTATGTATGAACGTATGTATGAACGTATGTATAATATATTGACCTTTGTTTTGTTTCATATCTCAGATGTTATCGGACTGTTGTTTCAGACGAAATTTGGGTTGCTGATTAATACATGCAAGCCATTGATACCATTTAAATACAAAAAAAAAAAAAAAGAAAAATGTGCGTTTATTCATTTCTGATGTATCAGAAAATCATTAATCTTCGATCCAACAATTTCTACGAAGCATATCGAGTTTTATTTACGGATTAAATGTAACTAACTCCGTTTGATCAAAAATTACGAGACAAATATTGAACCAGGGAATGGCATATCCAGTTTCGTCGCGTACGTTCGGAGAAAATGTCAATTACTCGACGTGGACAAGCCTCTACAAATGGATCCAGCTTCGATTAGATTAAAAGCTTTGACAATTAACATTCCGGGTACCACGCGCGCCAAATAGAGTCCCAGTAAATATATCCGAGCGATTACTAGCCAGCAATCGGCGTTCCCATAGATAACGCAAGTTCTGATTGGGACGGCAATTGGCGAGTCCAGTTGCTCGCGCATTAAAAGCTGGAAAATTGGATAATTCCTGGAGACCAATACCAGGGAAAGTTTAGTAACAACACTGCCAACATTTCACGGTTCGTTTGGCCGTTTTGGTGGGGGCGTGATTCTAAATCGTCGTCGTTGGCGCATTCTAGATGAAAAGGGAGCAGCAAGTTCGTCTTCCCGGTCTTGAATACGATCGTATTCGAGTAGACGGCTATTATGCGCTGACAATGCAGTAATCAAGCTGGGGGTCTCTGGCTGGGTAAAAAAGGATTGCTTCCTTGACTTTGCCAAACGGCCGTCACCGCCTTCGCAGCGTCAACCAGACCCCTTAAAATTCTTTAACGCCCCGACGGTCTGTTGAACTTTCGAGCGTACACTCGGGAGGCGTTAATTACACGTCGGGTGTAGAAAAAAAGGAAGGAAGAAGAAAAAAAAATATGAAGTGCCGTAATCATGGCGTTTTTCGCGCAGCTACTAGGTCGGGATCGGGCGAAACGGTTTAATATCGTTTAAAAGTAAACATCGTTGGAGAAGCGAAGAATGATCATTGGACGAATAGCGGGTAGCCGTCTTTGCAATTTAGGACAGGTAATTTCCGTCTCGATCCGATCGATCGACTTGCAAATTCCTTCGGAAAATAAAGGAAAACAAAAGACCGTCAGATTATACCATATGCCATGGAATATGCCATTGTGTTTGTATTTGATAAAAGAAACTGCAGAAGTTTCGTAGCGACGATATAATGACACGAAAGAGAGAGCAATTACGCTCGAGAGGTACGTTTCGCGTGTTAATTCGAACAGCAGAACAATAAGTGGCACGAACTCGTCGGAAAACCTGTTACTGTAACCTATAGCGCAAGTAATACGCAACGGTTCCACTGCGTGTATCTAATGCTCCATGGAATTTGATCAATTTAATAAGTAAACCTGTATTGATATCTATTAATACAATTAATATTAATAGAATAAAATCGATACGAAAATGAGTTCAGTGAAACTGTGCGGATAATATGGTTATTGATTTGCAGCGAATAAGAAATTACTCTATACTTGAACAAAAATTAACGAGTTGACAAAAGTAGAAAGATTCTAATAAAAAAAAAAAAAAAAGAAGGGTTGGGGGGGAAAGATAGGTTGACCTACGCTTACTTTGTTATTTATTTATGCCGGTGATGGCAATTTTGGAGCATTAGAGAAAGTACCAGTCGTTGGCTCGAGTAACTCAACCGAATATGGCGGTCGTCTGTAAAACGAAAAATCCGGATACAGCCTTGAACGGCCAATCAAGTTTGATTCGACTGTAATGTTAACGATGGTGCAATGCAGCACAATTCTTCGGAACGCTATAACTCTCGAGAGATAGCCGCGCAACGACTAACAATCGACTCGTTACACTTCATTCCGAAATCTCATAAACTTCAAAGGACACGCATTGACGTATGGCGCCGAGTGCGCTTCTAAAACATAGATAACAATTCGGAACAACGTTACTTAAATTAACACCAAGCCTACGGAATTATACACAATTGTTTCATCCATTATTGAATTTAGTTTCGCGTGAAATATTTGTTGCGTTTGATCGAAAAAAAAGCGTCTCTAGGACCAGTCGTTCGTTCGATCGCGGTAGAAATAATTACGAACGAACGTCGGTAGATTTAGTGTCAATACGTCGCTACTGCTGAATCCTAATTGCAAGTCATCCGCGAGAATAATACGCCTCTCGCGTACACCTAACAGGATCGATACCAGAAATACTGAAATTTCGCAGGATCTCCGAAACGTTTCATTTTTCCTTGCTACGTACGCGACTTTTTAACCCGTCCAAATTAGTTTAATTAAACAAAACGAGCGGAAAGAAAGGCTCGCATCGCGAAGTACCCAAGGCCCGCGTATAAAAGCTTTCGCGCATCTGTTCGTAATGAATGGCTCGTCGATGCGCGAAGTTTCCAGCGGAATTAGCTTCGTAGCCGACTGCAAACATCAACGAATGGAGTCGTAAAATGTAAATATACGTAGCACCTGCGCCGGGAACCGCGAAAACCAGAGCGAAACCCTTCGTCATAGGCGGGGGCGACGGAGGATCGGGTGAGCGCGTCGGATGATATATTTGCTCAGACCGTAGGGGTGAATTACGGTCGGGGTTGCGGGGATGTGTATCCGTCGTAAGGCTCGAAGGCGATTTATCGGTTGAAATTCGATACGCGATCGCGTTCCCTTGTTTGAACTATTCGTACGGTCAGAAACGGAAATTCGAAGCTCCCGCGACGATCGTCGGTGTTGTTTCATCCCCTTGGCCGACTCCGCAATTTCTTCCGACACGAATTCCTATATCACGACGCTGGCGAATGGCTGCTTCGCGACTCGTATAAATTTCCGTGGACACATTGAACGGATACGCGTATCGCGGATAGTGATTTGTAGTCTGCGGATCTTTATGCGAGATAAAATCTTTGCGAACGTACCAACAAACACCGAACCTAAATAGGAATTTACTTTACTCCGCGAGTATTATAATATGAACTTTACTTTCGATATTTTTATACTATTCACTACTACGTCCATTCTATAGTTTCTCGTACGTTTAGATTTCCAGTAAATGCATAAAAATCCGCAGTCTAGCGATTGGAACGATAAGCTACGTTGTATAAATGTATCGACTACGGATGACGAAGGGTAGGTGGTATTTTTATAATTTTGGTTATTTTTGAATTATTTTTGCGAAGTAACCTTAGCCAAGGGTAGATTTAAGGGTAGAATATTGTTCCATCGATATTTAATACGTTCTTTCCTTCAATTTCCGATACTTGATGTATTTAACGACACCAAAGTCGAGAAACATATTTTCAAAATCGTTGTCTATTAGTTACGATATGATAATATAGGAGTCAAAAAATAAGGCGTATACATTCGACGCCTTATTATGTCGAATATATGGGACGTATGTACTATAATGATATCTATGAAAACAATAAAAACACTAATAAAAATAATAATTTACAGGGGAATGAAAATGAGATAAAATTGTAATAAAAGGAACGAGAATCTCGACTCTGAAATTTGTCATAGAACCAACTTCTTCAAATTTTATCTCGTCGATTGATGTTTCGTTTTGCGTTGATTGTTGCAGACTTAAGTGGAAGAGGGACGAAGAAATTCGGCGACCATTGCGTGGAGGATCTCGAATGCGGTTTCGCGGGCTCGTACTGCGAGCCGAAGAAAAGCAAGTGCGCTTGCAAGGAGGAATTCGAGGCTACGAATCACATCGACAAATGTGGACAGCGTAAGTTAGTATATTTTCAAACGCGACGGAACCCAAGGATCTCGTATATTTTTCTATATGCGGACGAAGCACAGATACGTAAATCAAACTACATTTTCTCTTCCCACGTCTCGTGATTTTCTCTGTTTTATTTGTTATATCTTATACAGACAGCCAATCTCGCAAGTATATTCCTACCGTGTGTCTAGAAACTTGTTTGAATTAACATTTTAATCGCGTGCTTATTATAGACAAGTTCTACCACTTTCGAAGACAACTTTTTACGTAACTATATATTAATCATTTATTTGAAAATCATCGTTTAATTTAGACACTCTAATAGACGCAGAGGGTACGAGTGTTTATGGAACTGACTATATTTATGCACTTCTACGTATACTCGTATATTTACACCCGGCATAAATGCATAATGCATCCGCACTCCGAAGGATTAAGTTAAATCTGCAGTATTTGCCCGATAAAATCGACTAACCCGTGACTCCCTTGTCGAATTTATCGTGTACACTCGGTCTAGGGGGAAGAGCGAGAGAAACTCTGTTAAATAATAAAATGAACAACGATAAAACGCAGGGACAGAGGTCGTTTTACATCTTTCGGGAGGCTTCGGCCAAGTCACGTCCGAGGATCGAAATTTCTCCCTCTACTGCGGCCGACTTTTACGATCGGGATGATATGAAAGTCGGAGGGTGGCTGCTTATAGCTTTCTCTCGTAGAATCGAAACGAGGCTCCATGCTTTTATTGGTCTCGGGGCGTCGGAGGCGTCATGAGGAATGATAAACGCTAGAACAGCGAATTCAGCGAATCGGATTATACTTTCCGTACTGACGGAATGGTCGTAATTAAATTCTCTTTTACGAACGTCCGCGTGATTTTTTTTTTTAGTAAATTCATGGCGCTCGTTGAGGTCGGATCGAATCACGTTACGGGACGATTGAAATTTTGTCCAAAAGTAGGGAATTATTTGGGTATTTATTTTGCGGATCGAATACAAAGCAATAAAACGTTCAAATAATGTGCAACTTTCTTCTGTACGAGTCTCGACGCATCGATGCTCGATTGACAATGAAGAACTACGCAAGATCGCGTAACATCTAGCAGGACATTACAGCTCGATCAGTGCTAAGCCACTCCTCTAATTCCAGGCTCATGGTCGATATATCGAGAACAGTGCGGGTAGATAATCAGTCGATCAGGTTCGCCGCGACAACCCTCAATCTCCACCATGGTCCGCGATATTACCGATGCTAACCTATTTTGTCTAAAATTTCATACCATTCCAAACGAGACGCGGCGGGACGATCCCCGTTGCCTGAATTATTCGAATCAAAAACGTTCCCTTCGCTAAACTTCTTTAATCTCAATTCTACGATCGTAGAAAACGTTTTCATTCGTTTCATTTATGTATCTTGTTCCAGTTTGAGGTGTACACTTATTCGTTCAGTTGCCCGTACAACTTACTAGTTTAAAATTAATATTCTCAAAAGTTTAAATCGACCTCTAAAATTTCCCAAGTTTTGTCTCGTGTACTCGTTACGAATAATGTGTCTCGACATTCTTTTGAAATCCATCTCAGCGTACGTAAACGATTCTTTCCGTTTGACAGATGCCACGGAAGCATCGGTGATTTTTTAAAGAAATTTGTACGCCTCAAACTGGGACAATGGAAGCCGGGATCAGGGGACGTTTCTCGATAAGGTCTTTGAACAGTTTTAAATGACGGAACGGTATCGATTACGGGAAAACAACGGAACTCTTCGACAGGGCCGATATTAAGACGTATGGTCTAGCGTCTGTCGGGCCGCGGCGAGATAAACTCGACAGAGAAATGAAGAAGTCGACCTCGGGATGAAAGAGAGGAAACTGTGACAGATTCCGTAAGAACGGTGCCAAAGTATTAACCGAGAGATCTTACGATATTCTTGACCTCCGTATCGAAATAATTAAAAATAAATTTGAAAACAGATCAAACGGAAACAATTCTGAGAATTGCAAAAGGTATCGATTCGCGTAGCGTACTCGCGAAATGGAAAATGTTCGTCGTGGGAAGCGACGACCCTCTTTCCTTAATTTACAAGTCCACGCGGCGAGATGTGTACAACCATGTCCGAGGGAACCGAGAACAAAATCCTAGGGTTGAAATTTCATTCGGTGCTTCGGGATCGAAAAGTCCGATTGAACCCGATGCAACCGTTGAATATGAATGACGCTGAAATTGAGCTTACTAGAAGAGGGTCACGTCTACGAGGGTCTCGTCGATTTCGATAGATTTCTTCTTAGCATCTCCTTACAATCTTTTCGTACAGAAACTATACATCAACAATTTCTTGACGTAAGAATCAATGAGTAAACGCAACAATAGGTATCTCTAAAATTACTTTTCTCGACGCGAATAGCTGTTCGCATGCATAACCACGCCTTCAACTTAATTACTCTTTCGCTTTGTAAGAATCTGTGTCGGGACTATCGGATTTCAAATTAAGATGTAAATGTAACATAAAAAAGAACTCGAAGATTGTAGCGTGCAGTCACGTTCCTAGCGAACCGTGACAGTAATAGTAATCCCTAGCGACCTTGACCGGTAGATTGCTTCTACTGCAAATTTAATCAATCAATAAAAATAAAAATAAAAACTCATCCATCTTTCGAGCATCGTTCGACGATCTCAGCCTACGTAGGAATTCGATTCGTCTCCCGACTAACTCTGTGCAACGACTTCGATAGAATCGCGCTTCGTATGGGGAAACTTGAACAGAAAAAAGAAAACAACAAACAAAGAAACAAAGAACCGTCTCGAATACAACGACGAGAGGCGCGAGTTGCCGTTAATGGTTTTTGTTTTGCAGCGGCGAACGTGAACGAGTCGTGCTTTTTTAACGAGCAATGCGAGGCGAAGGTGAGCCAAACGGAGTGCAGAGACGGACGTTGCATTTGCATCTTCGAGAAGATCCCTGTAACACAGCCGGACGGCCTGACAGTATGCGTCGGTAAGGAGAAGAGGGACGACGGCGCGAGATAGGGGAGCAAGTTCCGCGTCGCACTTTTTAATGAGATTCCGCACTCGTCCCGGGATGCACGGCTCGCGGTGAGAGTGAGACGTTTCCGAGTTAATGGAATTCCGGCCTACGATTTCGCGGAGTTCATTAATTCGTCAGCTGTCTTCGTTGCGATCAATTAAGACGCACCGCTGAACTTCGCCCAAACGACGGCGGAACCCGATTTAACGGTTAAAAACTGCTAAATTTATAGTTAACTCTTGTTTTGGACACATGCGAAGGACCGTAACATTGATGCACGTTGCAACTGATGACTTTTACTGACTTTTACTGACTTTTACTGACTTTTACGATCATCCACGCGTTAACATCGATGGACGAATTGTACGTGTCTTTGGAGACATTTAAAAAAGAGAATACTAGTCTAAAAATCCTTTTCCATTTTTTTAATCCAAGGTTTCATTGTCAAGATACGAGCAATCAATGTTTTTGCAGGCACGAACGCCTGGTCAAGTGTCTCGCAAGTCGATAGGCGGCAGCGAACAGCTGACTGGGACGCGAATGACGCGCGCCGTAGGTCGCGCTAACGAACTTTCATCGCTTTTATTATACAACTAACGAACCTTCGGATTGCAAAGTGATGCAAGATCTTTCGATTTCTTTTTACACGAGGAATCGACCGTGAAAAAGTCTCACATTTCTGTCGTTAATCTCCGTATCGAGATTAACGAACTACGTGGAGCTACTCCATAAAATATGAAAGATTTTTATTGAACAAGTATTTCGCATGGAGAGAATTCCGGGCAAATGCGATCAAAACACGTACGCTTTCACCTTAAACTGTGCATCCCGTGAATTTTGAAAAGATACTAGCGAAAATGTTGAATCACGTATTGGAATTTGTAGTATCGATATCTCTACGATACGATATCCCTTTGGATACGAGATTTCGAATAAATGATCGCTTGCCGTGAAGAATACGGTAATTGTTATGTACGCCATTGAGTCTATTAGTCTGAGGCGTTGATATATACTGTTTCAGCCGAGCAGAAGGAGGAACCCAATCTCCAATACGTCGACCCAACGATGATTGGTGTTCTTGTCGGTATGGCTCTCATGTTCATCATCATCTGCGTCGTTCTTAGGCTTTTCAGCAAGTAAGCCAACCATTTGCATATCTTCCACGGTGACTCTTCGCCTTACCGATTCTCGTAACGGGAGTTTACGACCTACTTCTCATGGAAATTGCACTCGAAAATCGACGTTTAATGTCACGTGCCTAATGTGAATTTAATGTTGTTTTTTGAATATGAATCTTCCTTTCCCCGGATCCTATTCTAGCAACTGATCTATCCAGTCCTCATCTAGCATTCCGAAACGCCTTTCCTTTTAGAAATAATTTAGCCATAACTAAAGGCTGCAAATAGAGGAGACTGTGTAAGCGAAAACTCAACTTTCCAAGAAAACAATTTTCTGATTCTGATAGAATTCCAATTCTAATCAGTTATTTTGTCGAATAACTGTTCTTCGTCATCCTGGGTTTCTATCTCAAAGTATCATGACCTCTTTCAAATGAATATTGCAATACACACGGATCGATCAAATAGAAACAAACCGTCTTAATATACAAAGATATATGTATGTTTACTATTTTTGATGGCTCAATCTGTGTGTCAACGTTCATAATAACTAGAGAATATCAATTAAAGAACGTTCCTTATCAGTCCCATCGTTAGCTAAGCTCTACCAACTGACGTATCTATCCATCTATCCGGCCCTTCAGCCTAACGTTCCAAACCGACGACAATCTACAACAAACAAACATCAGCAGACTTCATTCTTCTTGAACGTGTTTCAGAGCTCGCTGGCGCGAGAATCGCACCATCTTTAATACACCGAACGCTCGTCTGATGAACGTGTCCTTGCTGAGGGAGAACAAACTTTTGCACCCGCAAGAGAGACGTGGATCAAGGGCGAGCGTACGGGTTCCCTCGAGGCAACCCTCGATGGCCTCCTTACGCGCCCACTCGCCAAACGCCTCGCAAGGTGCGAAACACTCTCAGCACTCACAGCACAGAGTGAGCCGTACGGGTTTTTATTCATTCACTTACTAAGCAAGCAACTTGTTATACAGTGTCCTGTTGAAACGAAGCAAGCGACTCTTTTACGCGCCGGTATATCGGGTGTTCGATGGAAATCGAGCCGCCTCAACGTGTTTGCCGAACACCATAATGTAATATGCATAATGCATACAATCGACGATATTATTTTTTTATTATATTTTTATCGACAACTATCCGATTCTCCTTTTCCCTGACTAGTCTCAGAATTTGATACAACAGTTCTCCGCGAATTACCAACCCCATTTCGACTCATCTTCAATAAAAGAATCTTGCTATCCGACCCCAACTTACATTCGCGGTTATAGGAGCGTTCTATGGTGGTTTCGAAGCGGTAACCATGTGTGTTCCATTAAATATTCAAGGTAAACACGTGTTCGCGAAGTAGAAAATACTGTTAGCTACCATCCGATTGTTGATTCGGGAACAGCTTACTGTTTGAGACACTCGTAATCGAGGAGTGAGATAAAAGTACCAGTAGTTGACCATCGGACAAAATATTTGTCAAAGAAACTGACATAATGTGTACTAAAGTTAGTGGTTTTTGTTTTAAGTACGTGCTGTAGTCATCAAAATAAGCACTGAAGTATGTTGGTATACGTGAACCTAGAAATCTGTAGTTTTCTAGTTATAAGGGAAAATTTTATTCGTTGCAGCAACTATTCTAAGTGTTTTCCTCTCATTTTGATGAATACCTAGCTACGTGTACTTAATCAAATTTATGAACACTCAAGAGCGCATATTGCACTTGTGAAAATAAGGAAGAAAGTTTCTTCTCTGATTCCCATTACTGTAAAAGCATCAGCAAAAATGTATCGAAACTAATGGAAGTAATTTCAACACTCTACTTTAATGAAATTTGATTTTCCAAGTAGCTTGAGAACTATTCATTCTAAGATTCGTGTATATATTATTTTTATTTCTCATGCAAAGATCACATTGTACAATTCCGTTTCAATATTTCTTTCTCATATTATCGGACAAAAACTCACCGGATACGCTTCATGCGAATGCTACCGATGGCCAAAATATTCACTCACTGATACCTGCCGACATCAAGAATCGTTGTCCACTTGATCATCTTTCCATTCACTGATTGACTGTGTTACCCTATTACAGAAAACATGTTAAAAAGTGAGAAACAATATCGAACACACCGGCCAACAAAAATACTAGTACTTTTCACGCAAGAAAGTTAGATAGACAGATATGAGGAGACGTGTAATTCAAAGTTATCACTATAAGGGACTTTCCAAGAAGGACTTTAGGATTTTGTTCATCGATAACAAAATACACCTGTCGGCATAGTTATGGCGGACACTTAAACATCATCTTTCACGTAAATTGTAATAACATGTGCTTTCAATTGCAATAAAAAAAATCAGGTTGCACATCATTTCTGTTTTATTGAAAGACAAGATCTTGAAGTCGAAATTAAAATTCAAAAATAAAAAATATTTATTTCAATGTCTGATGGGTTTTATTGGTTTTATTCAATATTGTCTCTTTTAGTAAAGATTTTTAGTAATAAGAAGAGAGCGAATAAATTTTGATTTATAAGGGTGCAAAGTTGTATAACGTGACTGTATCACCTAATATACCTTACTTAATCTAGTCTTACATTTCTTTCTTCTTTATACTTATTTAACTCTTACTTTTCATTACTTTGTATTTGCGCATGCTTGCATAATTCTGATCCTCTTATTATAGCTCGGGATTGCTAAACCCGTACTGTAGCTACGATTTAACATAACTACAGCCCCCGAGGGCTAATAAGAAAATGAATACGGTATAAAAATAGAAAGAAGCTACTTTAAATCATAACTAGATCGTTCCCAATCAACTTCTACGTTTTAAATTCTAAACCTCCAATTTGTGTTCATTTTTGTTCAGACTTCGACGATTGGTACATGGTTAATTACTGGAATTTTTATCTCGGTAGAACAGTAGAATAGCTTTCACGTTTAATTACGATGAGACGAGAGAGATTCGACTTTGTTCGACGTTGAGAAATGTTGAACGATGACGTTCGTCGTAAAGATCCGCGCCCCTTTGTAACGAAACCGTTGTAATTGGCAGATGTCGATTAACCGAAGAGGATACTCCTCGGGCTGATTAGCCGTCACCAAAAATACCTCTTCTTCCAGTAATATCGATTTCCGTAGAACATCCCATATATGTATAATATAGATACGAGTACATAAAGTAGGTGACTACCTACTCTTGCCTACTATCTATTACTTTAGAATCCTCCTATTAAACGCAGAATCCTTCTGAACTTCTCGCATGCACAATTGCCTGCCAAGAGGGTAGATACATAACTGCTGATACTTTCTATTCGAGTGTGCATCGAGATTGATGTGTTACATTTGGATGCATCGTTGTGACCGAATATTTTACGGTGTCCGAGGAATAATAACGATTTCGGCCTTCGGCAATTATGAATCTTGGTATAACAACGAAATTCAGATATCAGAAATTAAACTAGATATTCCGTTACACTCTGGCCAAAGGAATCACGAATTATGCAGAAACTCATAAATCTATACCGACGACGCGTACGAAAATGGAGGTAGGGAAATGGTGCCAAAATAAAATTAGAGAACGTTTAGATTCGTTGGATAAGCTGTTAATTGGAAAGGTTCCCTGGTGCCAGAGAAATTACCAGACGATGTATAAACGAGTTTTTTGGAATAGAATATGGAAGAGATCGAACAGGGATAAATACTTGTAATCCTTAATAATAATTCACGAACGAAACTTATATCTCCAAGAGAATTTAAACGGTATTCGCAGATGATTCGATTGAAACGAACAAACGTCTGAACGATACGGCGATGCAAATAGCATAAATAAGGTTCCTTAAAGTGTCGCCAGAACGATGCATCCTAAACGCCATAATCATGTTTCTCTTTTAACGGATTTTGACTCTCTTTGCAGTCGACCATCTATAGCAGTAGTCTGTTTAATGATCCCGTCTGTGACCGTTAAATCTTGATTATCATGTACTGTGGACCCATGGGGTGCTCTATTGTAAAAAAAAAACTTTTCAAATTGACGCGTCCTTCGAAGAGGGTAAGTTTCGCCTTCTAGCGAAGTCAATATTCTAGTGTTTATTTACGGTGTATCGTAGCGTATTGTGTGTGCTCTGTACATATCGCTCCGTTATGGTACTTACCCTCTTTCGGATACGTCAGAACTTCGAGCCTAGAGTTTTTTTTTTTTTTTTTTTTTTTTCACAAACCTTCGAGCCTGTGAGTTCTACCGATAGACCAGAGTTTCCTCTACCTAGCGTCTTCGAGGATCACGACTATAGTTGCTTGCTACAGTAAAAGATCGTTGCTTGCGTACAGACGAATTTCATCGTAGAGATCGCGATCGAAGGGCAATATAGATCGTACATAGATCATTGGCGAGGCATAGATGTAATTCGTTCAGCGAAACGGTTAGATGAAATTGGGAAGGGGCTAAGAAAACGCGAGGAAGACGACTTGGACGGTCTTGGACCAGTCGTTCGTGCGCTTTTAGACTCGCGTGTTTTCTTCGAGTCATCTTCAGGATCGACCCGAGACAGTAAAATTATTACAACTATCTTTTTACCCAATCGTCTCTTCGCGAGTGCCGAATACAAAGATTTCTTCGTGCGAATTTGAAATGTAAATAAAAAAAGCTCCTGCTTTTCCCCGTAACGATCGCTCAGCAAGAATCGCTGCGTACTGAAAGATTAGTCCCGTTTCTTTACACGGGACCACCGCGAAGAAGAAGACTCGGGACAAACGAGTCGAAACGCGAACGTCTCGCTTCCCCAAGACAGTTCAGATTCTTTTTCCTCGTATATTTATACACGACGACCGCGTCGAACGCGATGCAACGCTTCGCGATTGTCGAAGCAAAGTCGGGGCAATATTTTCTTTCATTTACTTTTCTTCTGTTCGTTTTTATTTCCTCCGGTTAGTAGCGACGAAAAAAAACATGTTAGCATAGTGCGCGATTTCGACGAGTCGCGGCGGCCAGCAATGGACGGCCGCGCTCTCGGATACGTTTACATTATCGCACGGAGTTCTGAAGTAGTTACGTTCGAAGGGACCAGTTCGCATTTTAAAGGAATGCAACTCGGTCGATTGACTCGGTTTACACGGTAAGGTACATCCATTGATCGAGCTCACCGGAAATGAATAACAAGTCGTGCACGTAACCTTCGTCGAGTATCGCCTCCTCATTAACGGGTCCTCGTTACGCTCGGCTCGCGTTATATCATTTGTCGGTGAACTCGATCGCCGGAGTGTTCGTACACCTTTGGAGTTTCGAGTTTTCAAGCACTTCTAGAATTAGGTAATTGCATGCGCGTGCACATACAGTGGCGGTTTGATACGCGATACTTGAGGGGTTACATATTCTTGCATGCCAATTGTAAGAAGAAACGTGCAAGAAGAACACTGAATGCTTTGTCGCTGAAGGGGGAAGAAATGGTTGCTGTTGTCGTTATCCGTAGCCATATTTTGCGCGCGAAGCACAATCACGTTTCACTGAACGGAGTATCAACACCGGGAAAAATTCATGGGAGCGTAGAACGAGAGAGAAGTAAAAAGCAAAGGGACTTTTGTAATTGATCGCAGTGAAAATTTGTAATTTGTCTTCAATATCAATTCATTTCTTGTCTTATTTCTCATTAGTAACGTCGACATCGTGTATCTTGAATTTGTTTAAGTATCTTTGTTGAATCGGGATGCGTAACGGTCAATTTATTGAAATCTATCGATTCCAATTGAAGGATATATCGAGACCATATTAAGCTACAAAAGATATCAATGATCTTAACAGAAATAAATTATATTCGTCATTGAACGTTAAATGTTTGAAAGAAAGACGTTATCCTGTTTTCGACCAAATGTTTGTAATCATCTTTAAAACCTTCGAAACAGAACGACCCACGGTAAAAAGTAAAAAAAAAAAAAACCTTGTAAATTATATACCGAGGAACTCTCAAACGAAACGAGTTTAAAACGAAACTAATCAAATTACACGTGATGATTATATATACACTTATCGAGCCATAAGTGTATACGTATTATACACAGAGCGAGCTTATTTAGTGCATTGTGCACGATGATTAACGTCACGTACACGCTAGCCTAAGAACGAGGACTATGTAAAAATTTCTGAAGAATTCGATACTCGCGAAGTTTCATCATAAAACATAATACCCCGGGGAGTTATACGCCATTAACGTCGCGGAGGATCCTCTTTCCTACATGCGAGGGGGATGTGGCGAGAAATTATAAAGTGCAGGAATTATTAAACGGGAGAACAAATTAGATCACGTTTTGGAATGAAATTAAAGCGACGAGGGTACGGCGTTCGAGAGGTACCGAAATCATAACGTAACAGAATTTGAACCCTTTAACGATACGGTCGTGATCCATAGCACCGTTTTCATTTCTTATTTTACGTCTCGGCTCATCCAACGAAACGAACATTTTTTTTTTTTTTCTCGCTTGGCGATTCTTCATTACATAATTTACGTATTTCTCTTCTCTTTAATGTGCCACAAGACGAAGACGAAGAATGAAGATGAGGAATGAAGATAAAGATGACCGCAAATGGTTGGTCGAAAATGTTAGCGAATAGTAAATGATTTTTCACGACGTAAGTGTTCAACCTTTATCTCTAAATTTTGTCCATATCGTTGCAATTTTTTACCATTCATACGGTATCTTATAAGTTTATCACACTTAGAGAGCCTCGCATAGTTGACAGAAAAGTTGCTATATTAAATATAAATGACATTTAAAGTCGAAGCACATTAATTCCGACGCATACAGTACGCTGACCACAGAACTATTCTTTTAGGGTACACATAAATACAGCTTCGCAAGAGAAATATTACTAAGTCAAAGAAGGAGGAACTGGCAGAAAATCCCGAGTACACTTTTCTTTTCCGAGACATTGAATCGATGTAAATCCTTAACAAGAAGCTAAAGTTACTATAAGATTTGATCTTTACAAATTCAGAAATTCTTGATTTATCGGGCCGTAAGTTTCTCAGCGAAGGAAGAAGTCCCTTTACCGTTCGACTATCCTCTGTGCTAAGGGAAGGGGTATCAGACGAAACGTTTACGATTTCTACTTCGAATTCACGACCGCCACTGTAACAGTTTCTAACCGTGACAAAAGAGCCTGCTCGGAACGATAGCGGTTTCTTCGTGCTTAAACTTTATTCCGGCTTTTCGTGTCATGTCGAAGCGCTGTCGCGCCAAAGCACGCGATACTTTAGCAAGAAAATCTTTGTCGCCAGGGTCACGAACAGGATCACGGCGCGGAAGTCGCGGGAGCAGCGGGAACGCGTCAGCGGTTTCGACGAAATCAAACAAGTCGCCACCTAACCAGCCGAACACCATGACGGAAACCGTGTTGGACAACGTCACCGTGGAAATTCTCGATGCCAAGGCGTAGATCCGCGCGAGAGAGGCCTCCTCGGCTCCTTCGGCGCCATCTTTAACGACCGTCGAAGGACGCTCGAGGACGTAGATCGTCTGGATCGTTCACGAGGCAATTTAAAAATTTGTCTCTTAACAACGTACAAATTCCAATCTCCGTATCCCTTTCCTCTGTTCTTTCCACCGTGAAATTCCTAGCAATTTCGTCCCACGTCGATTATCAATTTCTCGACATTTGTCGCGGCGACGAGGACGTTGCCAATCACCGTATTCGATAGGCGTTTCGTATCGCGTCTGTTTTCGAAACGATGTGCGCCGAGTTATTTTTATATTCGGACACTTTACAATTTTTAGTTTGTCGCTATAAAACTTCTCCGTTCTGGGATAAAGTGATCAAGGTATATCAAAGCATTAACGAGTCCAATATTCCCGTTATCACGATATTTTAATAACTTTATAAAATAATAGTGCGACCGTCTGCTATCCAAAATCAAAGATAGCATTGGCAGATGCTAGGCTTAGTTTCAGAAGATGTTTTAGCAGCTAGTTTATGGTATCGTAAGATTCCCTACTTGCGCTCAAGTATACCACTTGTGAATCTCTTTATGAGGGAGAAAAATTTGTTGATAACATCGTTAAAATTGTATGTGAAATAGTCCCAGTAAACAATTTCGTGTAACCATGATCGATTAAACATATTTTTACAACTATCAGGAAGTAATGATCGTTAAATGAGTGTTATTTGAAAATGACATTGGTACGTATATTATGTTAATACAATATGTACCTTAATTACTTTATTAATTATTGTAAAGGAAGTTATGTAAGCAAGAAAGTGAAAACTGCGAGGTGTCCTGATATTAAAGTTACTCGCTGTACCTACGCCTAACGAAACGACAAGTTTCCTGGCAACGATTTCATTTTTGGAGAATCGAAGGACGCGATGTTACAACCGAGATAATCATTATTTACCGAGATAATCATTATTAAGTTTCGCGTTCGAGTAAAGCGGTGAAAATTGGACAAGGTTCAAATTAACACGTTGATTGCTAGACCGATACACGTGGAAACTTCTACAAAGCTAAAATTTCATTCTGAAACAATTGAAAACTACATGATTTATTACTTGTCACAGTATTTATTCTTCCAACTGCATCGAAATTCACGAATTCTATCTAAATATTTTTTTTTAAACTCACTTTCAGAATTGACTTTCTAAATTTCTTAACGAAAAGCTCTATCATCGCATATATAGATCATGTGGCACTCAACGAGTTAATTGAAACTTCTTCTTCTTTAAAAAAAAAAAAAAAAAAGAAGAAGAAGAAGAAGAAGAGAGCACTCGAAGACGCGAATAAAAAATGTTAGTGTCGTCTTTACGTTTAATTCGAGAAACGAAGACACGCTCGAGCGTGTGATTTCGATAAATTGCTACCGCGAGCTACACGATGAAACGTAACGACATTAATCGCGACAAATCTAGATGAATATATTCGCGCGAAAATCGGAGTAATTTTGCACAAAAAAAAAAAAAAAAAACGAAACAAAGAGAAACGCGTTCAATTGCGTCGACGAGCTGTAGAACTTAATCGAGAATCTCAAATGTAATCCTGCAGTTAATTCTCGTAGATCGTTTCAGATTCCGTTGCATCCAAACAGAAACGAATAGAAAAGAAGAAAAAGAAAAAAAATAGACAGAGAAAGAAAAACGTAACCTTTTTTTACGACAAAAAAAAAAAAGTATATTATACACGCTTAGTCTTACGAATCATCGATCACTGCGAAGCACAACCTCCGCGTCTTTGAACTTGTTCGTTTGACATCGACTCAAAGACACGAACTTCGTCCCTCCATCGTTGTTTCGCATCGTTTGCAATCTCGTTTCGGACGAAACGGGTAGCGCGCGTTTCGAACTAATTGTCACTTCGTAAACATTCATCGCTTCGATGTGGTAAACGATGTGGTAAAACGATCCATGGGGTAACTCGCTCATTTAACCCTTAACGGTCCAAGTACGGTATACGAAACAATAATTACAATTAGAACGAAGAATCAGGATGTGTGAATGTTTTTGTTTTACTCGCGATTGATGTAGAGTGATTTATAAACTAGGAATCGTTACGAATTTCGTACACTCTCTGCTCGTAAGTTCTCGCTATCAATAACGAACGAGGGCATTTTATGATTAAACCAATCAACGTAATTTCCATTTGTGAGAAATGTCGGCGTTGGCAGTCTACCAACGCGTTAAAAACTTGAACCGTCGAGGGTTAACCTTTTCACTGCTGAATCAGCAAAAGGGTGCCTGTGCGTCGAATTTATTTCATCGTCTACTTTTTAATCATTGCGAACACGTACGAAAATCGAAGAAGTAGAAAATCATACGAAACTGTCCACGAGTAAGTATTCTCGAATTAAATACTCGATATCGAGAAGATTAGGCGCACAATCGTTTTTTAAGAAGATTTGAAATCTCGTCGGAGAAATCTTACCACTGAAAGAACACGTTTCGGATCTTCTTGAGAAATGACCACACGGTAACCAAAATAAGCCAATTGCTATCTGGTGATAATTCTATACTCGTGGTGGCTAATTCTATACTTACTCCTAATTCGTATTTTGTAATCGATAGTGAGAAACAATACTCCGAGTCCAGAATCGCTAGGACGAAACGGCGGTGATCCTCCATCGATCTATGGTATCGATCAGAGCATCCAGGAAGATAATCTTCATCGCGTTCTGTCTTTTACCTCTGACGTCGCGTCGAATCTCACGATTTCTGAACGACAGCTTCTTTCAAAGGGTGGATCGAAATGGACGGTTGGATAGAGCTAAAAGATGGCAATCGTGTATTAGGCGAAGGGTTATCGTAGAAGATTTTTAAAGAAATCAGTCAGCTGGTCTGATATCGTGGCGCGAATCGTTAAGACGCGAGGAAAGGGCAATACGATATAATCATCGCGAGGGAACCGCCCGAAGAGGCCCAGTGCTCGCGGATCCTCTTCTAAAAAGGTCGATTCAAAGGATCGACGAGAAAGAACCAACCGTTCTCGCCGTCGAAAAACTGCTTTCACGAGAAGCCAACACGAAAGGGACCAGACGAAAGTGTTTGAAACCGACATCCTGGGAGTAACACGGCGACCGATCGCCGTCGCGTCGTAATCACTGATTACTAATTGATTACTAATCAGAGATGGGCGGAACTAGTCCAACATCCGCAGAGATCCTTAGTTTCCTTCGTTCAAAATTGTCGTTCGAACTACGTGAAATGAAACATTTCGCATCGGACGAACGTTGCGAACACACGGTGGTTTTTATTCGAGCAAACTTTTGCCCATCTCTGCTGGTACTTAAGCACCGTCGTAGCTCTATCTGTTTCACGATAACACAACCAATCCCGCATGATATTAGGCAACGAGATAGTTGTACTGTACGCTCGACTCGTTTCTCATTCCTAGGATTCGTTTCCGTATACATTCGGTCTACATCAGAGGACCCGAAGAGATCGCTCCTATGTGAAACTCGGTCTCGAACTTTGAAAATGATTGTTTCAGTGTTAGACGGTAACTGAGACTTCCGAGTGTAACCGTGTTCGAGTGAGATACTTGGACGATTCGTATTGCAGATAACTCGAGCAACGGGGAAGCCTTAGTCGGTATCAACCATGAAGATCCAAACCGTAAAAGCCTCGAGTATCGTATCGGTCAAAAGTTCGCAAAGGAGACTCTCCCGGGGACAATTTTTGTAGCTTTCGAGCAGCAATCGCTACAGGGGAATTACTTTCTTCGAGGATCGCTCGATACCTGTTATTATTCTGTACCGTTCGACGAAAAATTCATGCTCGCCGAGTAGACGTAGTGTTGGGAAAAGCGAAATCTGCTTGAGGTTAGGCAGGGGTCTATTGGATGTCGACGTGTGAATTATTCCCGATGAAGGAGAATGGAGTCGCCTCGGGAGATTTCAACGTGGATGGGGAGCGCGACCAAACGCGGATTCGAACACGTACTGGCTACCTAATTAATCGCACAAGATCTCGTTCTCATACACGCGTACATACATGAACACAGATCACACGCGCGCGCGTGTACACGTAGAAATATCATTTCGTCGAGTCCAAGCGAATAATGAAGATCATCGATAGTTCGGTACAATTGTATCTCAGCAATTTAGTGCCTGCGCTCTCGCGTGTATAGTGTTCGCGCGAAGAAACGAGATTAATTAAATACAAAATATATAGATACGTATATAAATATCGGTATAAGAAAAAAAATAAGTACATACATACATACATATATATATATATATATACATGCATATATGTGTATATACATATATACATATAAATATATAAAACTAGGCTTGGCACTATTTGCACTATTTGTAGACTACTTTTTCGAATGCCTAGCGACCGTATCCACTCTGTGATCTATGTGCAACGTACAGCTACGACAGATTCTTCTCGCTACCGTCATCGTTGCTATTCTTAACATTTACCGAGGATAATTATCTTAGCGTTAAACTAACGTGTAAGCGACTCGCTTAGCTGTTGTCGTCCCGCACCTAATTCTCCCTCTCCTCGCACAAAACGATCCAACTTGTACAGCACTGGTAGCGTTTAGAAAACTTTAGGAGCAGTATATTCTCGACGATCGCCCTGTGCGACCAGAGACGAGGGAAAATTCGTATTCGAACGCGTAAAAGCCAATCGAATAACGAATAATAGATGAACGGCTTTTCGTTCGTGTCACTGGAACGAAAGTTTACGGTACGTCATATATTCCGCTATTATAGAACTAAATATTTCACGACGAATAGAGAAGCCGTTCGACTAACGAATAAAAGATCAACGACCGTTCATTCGTGTAACGAAGAATTACGGTATGTCGTAGTTTCTATCGTAGAAGTAACGTTCCGGTCGCGGAACGAAATATTCCACGGCGAACAATAATATTTGTTCGAGCAAGGGCCACGAACGAATTGCTGGAGGTTGCTTTTATTCGTGTCGTACGATCGAAACCTCGCCCGTCTCTGGATGGATGAAATTTGCGGCGGATCGAAGAATGGATGAAGTCGTAGAGAAGGAGAGAAAACTAAATAGAAATGATTTAGAGAAACGCAGATGCGATCGAGCAGGAGGTCGAGTATTCAATTAACGAGGTTTCGAAGACGAGGAGGGATCGGTCTTGATCCGCGAACGAAATTCGGGGAAGGTTTCCGTTTCCGGATAGAACGTTTCCTCTCGCGATGATCCACGTTGTCAAGTCCATTGGAAACAATCTTCGATATAATTATACACGGCTATGGAAAGTAATCGTCCGCTTAATACACTAGAGTTTAACGTTAGAGTATGCGTATACATTTATACACACATATATATATATATATACATAGAATATATTATTAAGATGCTTCGAGTCGTTAGTTTCCCTCCGCCCTTGTGATAGAAAACACACACAAAAAAAAAAAAATGATATTAACAAAGAAACACAAGCAGGGTGCCTCGTCTTTATCACTCAAAGACACTCGCTCACTTTTGTACGTCTCTATTCTAATTGCGTGGAAGGAAAAAAAAAAAAAATCTGGTCCTCGCGTTCTGATACGAGCGTCACCTACGGCGTGGAGGCCAAACCACCTCCACGATTAAACGATAATCAATCCGAAGGAGAACAATGACAATTGTAAATCTCGTTTCCTTTCTCCTGCTAGATCCCCTTTCGCGTTCTTTCCTTGCTAACGTGCACGGAGAGTCACTCGAACCGGGTGAGAGTCACTTCGACTCGTTTTATACTTCGGCGTGTGAGGTACAACGATTCCACGGGTTGGAATTCACGTTCCTCCGGAACCACACGAAACCGTGCGTTAATCTGCAAGCGACCTTCGAAGAGGGACTTTGCAAACATCGCATCAGGTTTAGAGATACAAGAGAACCACGAACGCGAGAGTCGGAGGACTCTTCGGTGCCATCGATCACCCAACGACGTATCCGTAACTGTCGAACCTCGAGATCGTTTAACCCTTTGCGAACGATCGACTCGCGCATACACCCGTAGACGTCTGTTTGCGTGTATATGTGTAACCCGACGCGTGCGTCTTGCCCCGAAATGACCGTTCGCGAAGGGTTGAGAAGCCTCTTGTAACCGGTGCCGATCGGGGAATCGACAAGATCCACCGAAGATCGAGCCGCCGTGAATCCGCGACGCATTGCGAAAACGCGAACGAACGATACGGTAATTCAAATATGGGGAAGTGTTTGGATTATCCTCTCGTTCCCGTGCGAAATGGATACATATTTTTTTCCGCAGGAGCCCTCCGTAACGATACAAGATAAATATATATATATATATATATATATACATATATAATGATAATTAAATAAATATACGTGTATGTATAAATCGTATAAAGGCAAACACACCGTGACCACTTAAATCGCAATACTTTCGATGTCTGAAAAGATATCAACTATCGCCCACGATGGAACGATTCCTCGAAACCGGAAGACGCAACACAAACGTCACAAAATCAAAATTACACGATACCTTGTCGACGCAGTCCCACACCCTCCCCCACCACCACCACCACCAATTGGTGGTTCAGAAACAAAGATCGAGGACGGTGCCTCTGTGGATCATCCTAAACGAAAATGATCTTTCCATTGTCCTTACGAGTTTCTTTTTCTAATTCTTCTCTTGCTAGAATTTCACGTCACAAAATACACTCACCTGAATACACTTTGACTATCCAGCACCCGATATCGTCCAGTTGAATTTAATTGAATTAACGCGACCAGCGATCGTTCGCGATCGTTACCCTTAAGTATCCGTTTCCCGTTACACGCAGATATTAACGAGTTATTGTAATCACCTTGCCAGTGCTTGCTTTATCAAGGGACTACATAGCCGTGTGCGCACGTCGAAATGCTTTAGTAGAATTCGATGGACAAGTAGACGATAGTTTCTCGTCCAATCGTACACCTTTTTGCGCTTTATTATTTATCGAAGTTGTTCGCGAGGCATGTATCCTTTTGTCGTCCTATCGATGAAAATGTATCGAGATCGGAAAGTCTGGACCGCAAATAGGATGTATAGATCCCAGTTGATCCGTCTCGCGAGCACGACCACTTGATCGTAGACGATTCGCGTGAAATATTGTGATTCGATTTAACAATTAGTCTAAATAAAACAGATTACTATATACACGTATGAAAATATGCGTACGTATACATGATATACACAGAGATGTAACAAGGTAAATTCGTGAAACGTAGACCGCTTCGATTCTGATGAATCGCGTTAAGGTAAGATTAAGCTCTCTATAATTGCGCGCTGCGTTCGATAACTTTTAAGAATATCTCTGATACGATTTTTAGGCAGCAACTTTGCGAATCTACGGTGACGTACTTTTCAAAAGATTACGAGTTAACCGTACGGTGCAGCATTTTAGACGAACTCGCGCGAGGATAACGTAATAGCGAATAGTGATCTCCTAGATATGGCGTGGATGGGTGCGGGTAAAAACGTATGCGAGTCCTCTAATTTTTTCAATTTTCAAATATTTTATAATGTCCTGGTATGTAACGAAAGTGGATAATATCGTTGGATTTTTGGCAATATACTACCCACACTATTTTACTAGCGGCTTAGTCTACCTTGTAACCTTTATATTATACATTTCATATTATAGCTTGTAACAGATAATTCATAATCTATTACGATTGTATTTGAAACTTAATTATATTCTGACTCTTCGAATTCATTTTAATAAAAACTTAATACACTATACGAACTTGTCTCTTTGTTACCACCTCACAGACCTGGACATGCTTCATTTCAGATGGAAATAAGAAAACACGAATTAAAAAGTGCCTATATCTAGTGCCTATATCTACTCGACTTCATTCTTTCTTCGGAGCGGGTAAGAAATAACCAGAAAAATAGTCGCGTAATCGTTAGTTTCTCTCTTCTTCTTTTTTTTTTCTTTTTTCTTTTTATACAAACAATATTCAGAATTTTGTACGAAGGATGAATAGATATAAACAACACTCTAAATGTAGAATACTCTTAAAGATAGCAGTTTTTTAAATATTTACAAGTCGGTACATACTGTACATGATTAGATATAACTTCATTTGTAAGAATTTTTCGCTCTCCAATCGAGAAATTCGTCAAACTCGGCTTCGTCTCCGCTGGAGACATCTTCATCGGTATTTTTCTGCTTCCTATCGGTAGCTTGAACTTGTTCTTTACGTTTGACAAGATCCATTACTCTATTAAAATAATGTTGTGTTTAAATAATTCATTTTTACCATTTTACCATTTTTTTACCATATTACAAGCATTTTTTCAAATAGCTCAAAAGTTAATCTTATTTTACCTAGACCAATGTCGTAATTGTTCCTCTATCTCGCCTAATTGTCTTTCTGTTGTTGCTTCTTCTTGATCATCTGCAATTATTTGGGCAGATTGCGCTGTCTCCTCTTTAATTTCTTTTTGAAATTTTTCCCATTCTTCTTCTATGGGATTCTTATACTCGACATTACGAACCTACAATCCCCATAAAAACTATGTAATTTTACACCTATTTAATACATACTGTTTTTATACACTATCCTTACTTTAGCATCCAGAACTGGATCATCAAAAAAGCCTTCTGGAAGAGTCGTTTGACTTGTATCTTTGTTTCTATCTTTTTCTCTTTCTTCTTCAATTTCTACATTTTTCAGTTCTTTATCATTTGCAAGTTCATTGCCATTCTCTGACTTTTGCATTATCACAGAAGTGTTGGATGGCACAGTACCATTAGACTTCTTAATATTATTATCAAAGAAATCTGATGGTAAGTTTGATGCTGCTTGTGATGAAGAAGTTTTTAATATACCCTTTATTTTCTTATTTGACGAGGATTCTTGAGATGGAGATGTAGGCCTTTTAAATGTGTGAGTAGCAATCTTTGGAATATCTGTTTCTAGTTTTGTCTTTTTTGCCAATGCAATATTTTCTTTGTGAGTCTTTGAATTCAAATGAACTGGCCAAACTACCTCATTGCGTACAGTAATTTTACACAGAACACACATAAGCTGCCCTACATCTGTATACGTGTTTACCATGGTTAAGGTTTTCAATATTTTCAAAATTTGAATGATGCTCACAAAATATTATATGTCACATACATTTAGTTTACAAAGACATGAAATTGTTTTCATCTCATTGTTTTCTTCGAAAAAAAATTATAGAAACGCGTAAAGTATACGTAAATTATATGATACTTTAATCGAATTATTAAATGTGCGACGAATATTTGATTGTAATGTGAAGGAAGTGAAACACTAACCTTAAACTCAAAATATATCAAAATATATTGGAAAACGTTTTACAAAGGATATCTTGCTAACGGTGATTCAATTTTCTTGACAACGCCCAGTTTCTTCTTGTGTTCACTCATAGCTTTACGCAAATCATCTTGCGTTAATTTTCTTTTTAACGACATTTTAGGACACAAATTACACTCAAACTACAAACGCGATTTTTATCTTTCAGGTTATGTTTTGATGCACCGTCGTCAGCTCAGCAATGATACCGTAAATCCCCTCCACCTGTATTATTCAGTACCAGTCAATATGGCACGTCAGCAACAAACCGATGTGGATGAGCTTTTCGACGTGAAAAACAACTTTTTTATTGGCAATTATCAACAATGCATCAAAGAAGCCCAAAAAATCAAAGTTTGTTCTTGAGAATATTTTTTATTAACATTACGTTTGTACTTATAATCTTTACGTTAACCTTTTGTAGATTACTATATCGAGTTAATCTTTTGCTTTCCATCATTGCTTTCACTTCAATTTTTCGATATCGATTCTTATTAATTTTATATTTTCTCTTGTATTTACAGCCTTCTTCATCAGAGGTAGCGATCGAGCGAGATGCCTTCCTCTATCGTGCATACATAGCGCAGCGAAAATTTCGTGTTGTGTTAGATGAAATTAATAGTTCATCACCATCAGAACTACAACCGCTTAAAATGTTAGCTGATTACTTTGCGAATCCTGATCGTAGAGAAGTGCTACTTGCAGATTTGCAACAGGCAACAAATCAAATCAATTATGACAATCACAACCTCCTGATTGCTGCTGCAACTATTTACTACCACGAGAATAATTTAGATGCAGCACTGACAGTACTTCGTGATGCAGAACATTTAGAATGCCTCTCCCTAAAATTAACAATCTACTTGAAAATGCATCGTGTAGATCTTGCAAAGAAAGTATTGAAAACCATGCAAGAAAAAGACGACGATGCAATTTTAACCCAGTTGGCCCAAGCATGGCTGAACACAAGTACCGGTGCTGACAAGTTGCAAGATGCCTACTATATTCTTCAAGTATTTAATATTTTTTATACTATAAAATTTATGTATCCTCAAAAGTCTTAATGTTACAATATTTTATTATTTTAGGAAATGATAGATAAATATGCAAGTACAAGCATGATGTTAAATGGACAAGCTACTTGCTTCATTGGGCAAGCTAAATACGAAGAAGCAGAAACAGTTCTGCAGGAATCACTGGAGAAAGACAGTAATAATCCAGTTACTTTGATCAACATGGTTGTCCTTTCTCAACATTCAGGAAAGCCACCAGAAGTTACCAATCGTTATTTGAGCCAATTAAAAGAGTCACACGCAGAACATCCTTTTGTTAAAGAATATTCACAAAAGGCTACTGAATTTCAAAGGCTTGCAAAGCAGTATACTGTGTGCACCTAAATGAATTACTTTGTATCATAACATTTTATGGTCCACATTAAATAGAAGGATTAATACTAATTAATGTAATAATGTGGGCTACAAGTATAAAACACTCTACTTGATCAGTGAATTTTGTATGAAAAGAAAACATTTCAATTAATAAACAGAGAAACATTGATGTAGAAATGTGTACAGTCTCAATAAAATACTTTTAACAATTTCGTATGCATTCCTTACACTACCATGCATATACAGTACAGATGTACTTGTTATTAAATAAAATCATAGTCAAAATCGTACAAGGCATATTGTAGAAAATGTTGAGACAGTAAAATTAAAGATCAGGAATGTTGATAAATAACTACTAGCTCATAGTTTTCTAATATTTTCTACAATACACCATGTATGATTGTACGTAAAGTAAGTAAAATAAAAACAAAATTTGCTCGTTTGTACTTTCTTTTTTAATAATATAATTCGCCAATTGTTTAATCATCGAGGCGATAGGCAAGTTTTCTCATGGCTCCTTCGGTAAGTTCCTAATTTTCTTCGTGTCTCGCCATCTAACGTCGCGGTACGTAAATATTTAGTGTCAAGCCGAGAAACGTCTATTACGTCGAGGAATTCGAAAATTTAAACGGGCAAGTTTCGTAGTTAGTCGGAATGCGTTAAAAGTGACAAGATCCACGCGCGAATCCCAAGGACGTGTTTTGTCGTGAAAATAATACCAGTAATCAAGGATTGCGAGAAACTTTACACTGGATTTCGGCGGGAATACGACTGCGTTCAGCACATTTTACAAACATACATCGTTCACGTCGTAATTATTCAAGAGCGCTGTAGGAACCAGCGGGGACAGGATCCCAGCTTCTCCTTTGGGAAGATATCACGGTTAGATCGAACGTGGATCCTCGCAACATGGCGACACGAAATAGGTACATGATCACTTGCCACTAAAAGTTGCTTGTAGCAACAATGTGCTCGGTGTTAGCTTCTTTCATCGACACATTTTGCTCTCTATTATTTGTTCTTGTTCACATCGTGCGCCAGTTCGTACGATTTTCGAATTCTCTACGTCCACTGTCCTCGACGTTATCTGTGCGACAGGTAGACTTTTTTTCATCCAGAGTACATTTTGAACGTAACCGACCGTTGTTTCCGTGTATATTTATTGCCGTGATCGTGTCCTGTGAGCAATAAGTTAGAAATAATCGTCTAATTATACAGTGCTGCGTTATTTGTGTAACGTAACCTAACACGCACAGAATTATTCAATTATCATTTTCCAGGAATGTGCTACACGAATTATAAAACTGTCCATTACAGAGAGTTTTAGAAACACAAATGTTTGGTATCACGAGAGCAACTCCTGAATAAGAGTACCATTCGCCATTGGGACTGCACGACAATAAGCAAGATATAACCAAGAAAACACGTCCTTACGTATTGGAAGTAAAATAACGTTACAAGGGAATGAGATGCATTGAAAAAGGAGATACATGGTTCATATTTAGTTCTCACGAAACTGTTATCAATTTATACATTATTTATTTAGTAATTAATTAGTGATATATATTTAATCAATTATAGTCTTCCCTGTTATTTGTTAATATTCACAAAGAAAGAAACAGGGAAAGTACGTTTGAGTATTCTAATGATAGTTGCAGAATTGTCTGTGAATTAATTTTATTTTATACTTGGATGTAGCATAAATCAATGTAAATAATATTCAGTATATCGATATGTTGTTATATGCATAGTAATTAGTAGCGTAGTCAGAGGATATAAAGTTTCTTACAGATTTAAGTAGTAAATTTTGTAGCATTCTATACATTTATTTTGACTATGTATCACGCTATGTATCCACCGCAAATAATGGTGCAGATAATGGGTGGCCAACAGGCAAATGGACAGAGTCCGCCGGTTCAAACACATGCAATGCACCTTCACAGTACAAATGCGTTCCATCAGAACGAATACACGAAGTATCGTCCAGATACTTGTTCACAGAATAGACATCAAATGATACAGGTATATTTTTACGTTTTTGTTAATTAATTACTTTTTGTAGTTCGACTACTTGTTTAGCATTGTAAGCCTTTCTCTTCTTTAGAATTCATTCTATTTCATTAATTATAGAAAGTGTTGTATTAAAGTTGAGTTGAACAAATAGTCCACATAATGTTTATGTAATTACTCGATATTATTAATATATTTTACTCATTGGAATCTTTTGGAGTAAAAACGATATTCTTGCAGACAGGATCTTATCCTTTGGAATTATTGCAACTGATGGGTGTCGAAATACCTTCTTTACGACGTATAGACTACGTGCAGTCAAATAATAGCATGCCTTCAGGAAATTGGCAAAGATGTGCAAATACCTCGACTAGTACGCCTATTATGCCATCTCCACACCATAATTTTAGGCCAAACAGCAATGGTTTGGTAAAAAAATCGAATTGGTATAGTAAAATTGGTAAAAGAACTTCGTTTAGAGATTCGTTTGGAAACAATGAAAAATATGGTAGCGATAGCGGCTTCAGTTCTCGCTCTCCAACGCCAAATAAATATCAAATCGACAGTAGTCAAACAGAGAGTTCAGATGAACGGGACTCTATAAATTCTTCCATCGATCAAAGCATAAAGTGCGTATTTTACATTTAGAAAAAAAGCAATCATATAAAAACATAAGATAACGTACTTTTTCGATAATTGACATTAAGAAATTATTGTATCACAGGAAATCGCACAAAATACATTCGAATAATGCTACAAATAATAGAATAATGCAATATGGTATAATTTCGTGCACTCCTCCACATCAGTTTTATCAGAATCAAAGGCAAGTTAACTGTTATCCCGCTACAATGTCTACATCTAGGTCTCAAGTACAAAATTATCAGAATAAAAGAAGATATCCCTCAGGTATATTTGCACTTATGTCAAACGAATCTGTTCACACATTCGTTTTAGGGAGAAATTATACTTTCAGGAAGAAATAGTCCACCTCCACAGCGTTTACAACGAAGTAAAAAATATATGGGACTGGTATCGCCAAATTATAGTTCATTCCCCAGATATGGAATCGCGCCAGATCGATTCCTTGCTAGATCACATTTAGTCGAAGTAACTCACACACCAGATGAACTACTCAATGGATCAATTTGGGATAATCTATCGAAGGACGTTTGGTCCAAGTTTATGTTAAACCAACAGACTGAAACTGTTTATAGAAACAAAATGATGCTCTGGAGATACCTTTACATTTACATTAAGGTACTCTCATTTTTTAGGTCACCAATTCAAATTGTAAATTATATTAAATAGTCAGTTTCGAAATTTTTAATGTGTTTAGACTGCATTTCCAAAATACGGATTATTTTTGGTTGGATCTACGATGAATGGTTTCGGATCGGATAATAGCGATGTTGACATGTGCCTTTTGGTAAGGCATACAGAGATGGATCAAAGAAACGAAGCTGTTGGGCACTTGGAACAAATACTGAAATGTCTTAATAGATGTGGTAGGTGTCAATCTACACGTTGAATTTATATTATAGTAGCTCAGAGTGCGATTACGTGTGATCAAATTATATTTTCATTGTAACAGGTTTTATAGAACAGCTGGAACTTATACAAGCAAAAGTACCGATTCTGAAGTTTCACGATTCCATACAAAATTTAGAAGTTGATTTAAATTGCAACAATGCTGTAGGTATTCGGAACACCCACTTGCTCTACTGTTATTCTCGAAGTAAGATTACTGTATATAGAGACAGATCGAGACAGATCATCGAACTAACTTGTTTAGTTTTGTTAATTACAAAAATAATTGGAACAAATCTCTGTTGGCTTTCAAGGAAGATGATTATACTTGAAGAAAATATACCTTCCCTTCTGCCATAAAAACTAGTGATTGACTATCACCAGAATTAAATAAGCTACTCGGTTGATCTATCTCGAGTGTCTCATCCTGTACGAAAACCAAAAAATGAAAGAAACATTCTTGATGCGAAAAAGTTCAACTGATAGAAATACTTTTACAGTTGATTGGAGAGTGAGACCACTGGTACTTGTGATCAAACTTTGGGCTCAATCTCAAAATATTAACGATGCCAAAAACATGACCATATCGAGTTATTCCTTGGTTCTTATGGTTATTCACTTTTTACAGTGTACGTGTGTTTTTTTTTTTTTTTAATTTCACGAATATTATCGGAGTTTGTTATGATTGTCATTATTCATTTTTTTACAGGTGGTGTCAATCCACCGGTTTTACCTTGTTTACATTCTCTTTACGAGGGAAAATTCACACCGCACACGGACATTCATTGCATAGATATCCAGGAAGAATTGGACATTCCAGCATCTGTGCTTCGGCCGAGAAATCAACAACCGTTGGGAGATCTACTTGTAGAATTTTTTAGATATTACGTCGTCTTCGAGTGAGTAAGAAAACGAAACATAAAGTCGTGGTTAATCTCAATGAACAGCGTCGTAATAAGCTAATAATATTTTAATCAGTTTCAATAAATACGCGATATCGGTCCGATTGGCTAATAAAATACCGATAGGGGAATGTCGAAGGGCGCGATCCTATAAAAATGATCCACATCAGTGGAAGTATCTGTGCATCGAAGGTAAGTGTCTACCTAACAGTATCTAATAAATCAATGACCTATACTTCGATATTTTTATACAATTCTTGTGACTGTATAGAGCCATTCGATCTTACCAACACAGCAAGATCGGTTTATGATCCCGATGTGTTCGCTAGGATCAAACATGTATTTGATTGTACATACCAGAATTTGAAAGAACATCACGACTTGGCTAGGATATTCGTCAAGATTAATACCGCTTCGCCGTATATCGTAACGTAACCACGGTTAACAAGCTAGTATAGAAATACTTGTTATCTAGGATAATTTTATATTCGAGAGCAGTTTATTTTTGCAATCGGCCTCTTATCAACATAAACCGAGGCAACTCGACTGATATATCCTTAACCACCGATGTATGAGATGAAAAAGTACAATGGGGTAGTCTTCTACGCTTATCTCGAGCTAACACGCTCATATCTTGTGATAATGGCCTGTGCTTCTATAGCAATGGCTCACTCGTTCCGTTCATAAGATCGAACACGTATTTTTCTCGTTTTGTTTCTGTTCTTATTTACATTTTTTATAAACGTGTAAAAGCCACTTATTACTTGATTTTTTATATGGAACGAAAATGCAACTTCATAATCAAAAGAAAGAAAAAAAGAAAACGTTAACGAGATATATAAATATATATAGAAAGAGAGAGAGAAAAATATATTCGTAAGTATTCGAAATTTTTCATTGAAACACGCGGAATACAGCGTACAAAAGGTTTTGGAAAAAACCCTAAATAAAATCAAGGGGTTCGTTAATGATAAACCTGCGCGATTGCAACGCTTTGTTTCGTACGAACATCATTGATTTACCTTATTCAAAATTTGTTCAATTTGATTTCGATGTGTGCTTTTCCACAAAATTTTCTCAAACATGAAAATACGGTGCCTTATCATTGTGGGGCTGCAATACTCCCGTTATTAAATATATACGTGGCCCCCTCACTTAAATACGATATATTGAAGAAGAAAAAAAGAAAAAAAAAATATCTTAGTAGAATTTCAGTTCCTTTTGACAATTACTCATAGTAAATATTAATATTGTCGCCCAAGAATATTGGGAGAAGACCTATTTCAACTCAAAAATTCGAGAATCACATGTCAATGAATTTTCGTTAAAACGCCAAAAAAAAAAGAGGTACTTATTCTTAATTGAAACTTATAGTGACCTTAAACTTACATATAAAAAGTACTAAAAAAAAAAGAAAGAAAGAACGAAAAAAATTAAAAACGTTTAAAAAATGAAACAAAAAATTATTGTTCGAAAGAAATAAGGGAAAATTAAAAAAAAAATTCTAATTATATGTAAATCGACGAAACATCGAGGTTTTCTCTTAAATACACGTATCTCACTTAATTTAAAGAAAAAGAGCGAAAAGAAAAGAAAAAAAGATTGAAGTAAAATTAGTTTATCAAAAACAATTCACTGCTATTTATATCTCATGGTGATTATATTTAGTTACCTATATCACGTGCCAAAGTAAAAAATTAATTTCGTCTTTCCAATGTGAAGAAGAGATTTTATAATACGTGCAGCCTGCTCAATCTGTATTTCGAAAAGAAGAGCAGGTTAGATCAACAATGCATTTGAAAATTTTAAGAATAGACTGAACAATACTCGGTTACGTAGTTACATTTTGAACAATTATCGCCTAAAATAGTTATTTGCTAAAATATATAAAAAAAGAAAAAGAAGTTCCTAATTTCAATAATAATCAGAAGTCTCTAGTTTGATTTCGTTTCTAGTCTCGTTTCGACTAGTCTTTCGTTTGTCATAAACATAATGTAATCTGTTAAATAATATTTAGAAAACAAAAGGCTGTGTCTACAGTATAAAAATTATTTAGTGCAATATTCTATTTTTGGGCCTGTATAAATAGGTTACAACCGAACCGTCATAATTGTAGTTCGCATAAAAAAAAACTATTACTTTCTTCAAGATTATTATAACCTGTGTCATCTCTAAACAGGCCCAACATATATTTTTCTAATTCATTATTTACTTATTTTTGTAACAAATGTAAAAGATCTAACAATTATGTATCTTCCTTCGCTCAAACTGGACATCTTTATTATCTTCCTCCTTCCATTTTTTGTCAATTCGATGCATATGTAACGCTAAATTTTAATATAACTGTACCAAACTTTTGTAATTTTCATTTTGCTGTTAAATAAAAAATATTTATATACGTCCAAACCTTTGATTATTAAATTAACAATGTGAATTCCGGTAGGTAAGTTAAGTTTCTGTAGTTAAATTAAACAATGACGAAACAACAATGCTTCCTGCAAATTAAATTTATTCGTTCCATAAGATTTCACAATGAATTTCCATATTATATTCTGCAGTTAGCGGTGCGCTGTTGGTCGGAAAGAAGAAAAGAAAACGATTTGTTTTGTAATTGCATGATGCTGTTCATAATTTTTCTTTTTCGTCATTCTCAATTTTATTCTGTGATTGATTCGATTACCGCGAGAAGCCAGCACAGACAGAAAGTAGAAAACATTGGTACCAGGGGTGTACGAGTGATAACATACAAAAAAAAAAAAACCGAAACGAGAAAGGAAAGCGTCTGAATTAAAAATTAGTAGATAGAACGATACTTTGGTCAGTATACTAGAACGAGTAAAATACCTTGAACGCTAAATGGGATTACTCATATCGTTACGGACAAAATGAATAACGTTCTTCGAAATTCAGACAATTTCTGTATATTTCAGAGCTGCTTCCAAAAATGTTGTTAAACGTGATTTGTGTCGTTGGTAGGTAGAATTTGGCTTCCCCAGCGGTTACTGGGGGACATCGTCCTCGATGTTTCCAAAATCTCATATTACAGCGGATCATTGTTTATCAAATCTCTGTTCGTGTGTGATCGGTTCTTATCAGCCATTTCGATTGTTACACCCTACCAAAGAGAAACACAACGTCGAATAAATTTTGTTTCTCCATTGTTGCGCTCTGTCGACCCCCAGCGGTAAATAAAATATGTACAATTATATGTACCGGTCTAACCAGAAAAAAATAGAAACTAATTAACACGATCGGAATTAAGGTTGGTTAGGATTTCCTTATCGGGTCAGCGCAATGTCAACATCACGCTAAGCCTACGAGAAAGGGATTCCCCCCATTTCGTGATGATGCTTCAAGTGTCGGCCTCCGTACTGTTAGACGACAATTCTTTCGGCGACATATTCGATAAAGTCGATTAGTTAGTGTTCGTGTTGTGTCATGCTCTTCGTTGTCGCCGTGTACACGCGTTATTGTCGCATCCTTCGTCTTGATTAACGATATTACAGAGGTTATGATCGAAAGAGGCGGTGTACGGGCCGCCAGGAACGATTCTAGGATCCCCATGGAATCTCTATAGGCATGTTCGCTTTTCCCCCCTTTTTCTTTTTTTTTTTTTTTTGCGACGTAATCGTTCCCATACACAGTGAGTCACAAAGTCATTTGAACGCTTACAATCGGTAGCTCTAATTAATGACACATGTAAGTTACACCGAACGTTTTTAAAATACTGTTACGATATAACACAGGTAACGAAATTATACTTTCTTCGAAATTTGAAAACAGTCTAATAATCAAATTGAGGATTTTATGCATTTATAATGTACAATGATATATAAAAGAGATACTTCAAATATATAAATCGTAAAAAATGTCTTTTCTACGCGTTTGAGGAATACAGCTATATAATTATGTTTTTGGAAGATTCATTTTTATATTCGAACGAATAATAAAGTTATAAATTAGATTATGTTTCTTATTGAATTTTTATGGAGATAAAGCATTATTTGTTTTTTAAATAAACAACAATAGTTGGTTTTAAAAGCATCATCGTCTTTATTAGTATAAACAATGCCGACGTTTCAACGACAAATATTTTGGACCCGCTTCAGGTTAACGACGAAATGAGCTGTTGGCCTAAAGAGGATTAAAATACTTGCGAATAAAACATCATTACTGCCGTATTAATAAAAATAAGATGTTTACATCAGCAAAGTATGACCAACATTTCTATTATTTTAAATGCAAATAACGCTCTCTCCGAATATAAATGTACTCGGTAACACAAACGAGCATTTAAATTCGTCTTAAGTAACAAATGCATCCTCAACCTTTATAAACTTAATTTGTAACCTTATTTCTTCGAATTTCAAAATAAATCTATAACGATATATTCTTAAATAATTTAATATTTCAAACACGTAGAACACGTTTGATTTCGATTCCATTAAATAATAACAACAAAAATTCATTATCAATCGTCACAAACGATGTACCATTAATTCTGATAAATAAATTTGTAATCGCATCATTTGATAAAATGTCTCAAATTGTTGCCGGTATTGGCTACGACTGCTGCTCCGTCCCATAATCGTAACAGTATTTCAAAAGCTTCGATGCCATCTTACATACCTTGCTCATTACAATCCGTGGTTGTAAGCATTCGAACACTTTCATGAGCCAGTGTCGTCTTTTGGGAAATTGGAAAGACACGTAACGTGTACCGATATGCCAATACGTTCTCCATTCTCTTTCTCTCCTGTTATCTTTATTGCCGGCTGTGGATCTTTCCGTCTCATAAGTCACGAGTGTCGATGCCACTGGCCCTTGATTTCCTTCGTCGTAGAGAGAGATTCGTGCAGTTGTGCGTTACAGGTACTACGTTGGCACACTTGTCGAAATTTGGTCCAGTCACGAAGCGTTACACGTCCCGTATCTTCTCTTTGTTTTTTTGTTTGTTTACTATTATTATTACCATCGTCTTTTTTTTTTTTGTATTTTTCGTAGTTTTGACATTTTTTTGTGTGTTTGTTTGTTGTAATTATAGCGTCACTCGATCCCCGCGATAAAACGGTCCGTTCACGATAAGCGCGTGTCACGGTGAGTTGGTGGTGTGATTGTGTGTCGTCTCCCAGTCTTACCCCTTTTTCCATTGGGCGTGTCGCCGCACACTCTGTTATCATCCAGCGGTGTTGCCATTTGTTCCTTCCCGTCTGAAACGTATTTTGTCATTATTTTTTTCCTTTTTTTTTTTTCCTTTATTGTTTGTTCGAGTTGACGGTTATTTGGCGACGAACTCCCTCTGTTATTGCTTTTTATTTCGTTTGTTTTCTTGCTTGCTTTAAAACCCTCTTTAACGCCGACGACTGCGTGCATAAATACCGTACTCGATCGCCTCGAGCCGTTTTACCGTTTAGCGCAGTTAGTGATTTGTGGTTTGTTGGTCGAAGAAGAATTGGTCGAACGAGCCTTCAGTCGCTCCCGCGACGCTGCATAGCAATTGCGTTGCTCAGCCGTACGGTCTCGGCTCAGTATGGCTGGGAGAACTGTCCCCCGGCTTGTGATTGTCCAGACTGATAAAAACCACTTCGATCGCCTTGATAGGTCGAGTCCTGTGACAGTAAACCGTCCATCTGGGACTGGAACTCCCCGACCGCGAACGAGTCCTGTGAAAGCTCCGCTTGGCTCAATCCCGGCTGTGAGAGGCTAAACCCTGGCTGGGACATGCCCTGCGTGGTTCCCTGGGTAAGGGGCAAGCCAGGTTGACTATACGGTTGGGTGTTCTGCTCCGTTTGACTCAATTTGCCCATTCGAGGTCCTTGCTTGTTCTTAGACAGAACCGTGCCACGTCGATTGCGTTGATTCTGTCTAGCTTGCAACGCCTGTTGGTGCTGATTGTAGAATCGCGGCGGCACGTGGGCCATGTTCATAAACATCCCCACGGGTACTGGCACGTTGTTCATCGCTGCCTGAGCCCTCTCGGGACTGATGTAGCTAATCGTATCGTGGGTCCTGCTGAATATATCTAGTGGCACGTTCCTCTGGTAATAGGGATTGTGATTCTGCGTACCGTTCACCTGAGTGCCGGAACGATCGTACACGGATCCTGGTATAAGAGCTTCCCGTGCGTCGTACATCGACGTGGACATGAAATGCGAGCCTGGGTTCGCAGCGTTGACCAGCTTCTTTGGTTTCGCGAATTGGATCATGGATTCTTTGAGATTATTCAACGGCCCCTCCACGAGGACCTTCTGCTCCTTGTAAAAGCTAAGCAGGTGGTTCCAGAGAGGCTGTTTGGACAACACTTTTGGATTTCCAACGATGATTATTCCGTATTTGGCGCGGGTCAATGCAACGTTCAGGCGTCTCGGGTCGTTGAGAAACCCGATGCCCTGGTGCTCGTTCGATCGAACACAGGACATGATTATTATGTCTTTTTCTCTGCCTTGAAACGCGTCTACGCTAGCTACCTCGATCTCCTGATACAACTTTGAGTGTAAGGATCCTTGATATTGCATGTACTGAACCAGATAGGCTCTCTGACCCTCGTAAGGTGTGATCACGCCAATTTGTTCGGGTTTCACGCCACAGCGCAAAAATCGCGTGGCTATCTTTTCGACGTTCGAGGCCTCGGTTCGATTCAAGTACGACGTGCCACTACCAGCGATTTCCTCTTGGCCCTGAGTAACGTAGAAGAACATGGGTTTGTCGGGTGCTGGCCAGGGGAAGTCGATCTTCAACAATTTTCTCTCATCGGCACACACGCCGTTTTGCAAAGAGCCTTCGTAGAAGAAGTTCGATGGGAATCGCGACAGATCCGGATGCATTCGGTATTGTACCTCCAAACGGAACGGTCTGATCCCTAACACGACCAATCTCTCGAATAGAGATTGCGACAAACCTGCTCTGGCAGCCTTCTTGCACATAACTACTGGTCCTAATTGGCAGTGATCACCGACGAGAATTAATTGTTTCGCTCCAAGGACGACTGGGACCATGCATTCGGGTTCTGTGGCTTGCATGCTCTCGTCGATTAGAATAGAGTGGAATTTGAGCCTGTGCAATCTTGGATCACCAGCTCCTACGCAGGTGCAGCAAATTACATCTGCTGCTTCCAACAATTCCTTCTCCGCAGCCTTCTTTAACAATTTGTAGCGTTTCTCGTCCACGCTGGATAGTTCACCGGTTTCATCCTTCAGTTGCTGCAGCTTCTGCAGTTCGGTGTTCGTCTCCATGTTCTTGATCTGATTGTGAAGAGCCAGGAAGCTTACAGGAGAGTCGATTGCCTCTCGCGATTTCGCACAAAGTCGTACGACCTTCAAGTTAGACTTGTGTATTTTCTCCGTGAGTTGGTCCACGGCTGTATTGGAAGGAGCGCATACCAGCACGGGTCCACCGTTTTGTTTCACCAGTTGGTACACTATCGTGGCGCTGGTTACAGTTTTTCCAGTGCCAGGTGGTCCTTGGATCAAGGACAACGGCCTCTGCACGGCATGTTTCACAGCGTAAACTTGGGATCGATTCAAGTCAGGTAAGTTGGGAGCACTGAAGTGCTTGGGAAGATGACAACGAAACAGAACCTCCTCCACTTCGTGTCCTAGTAATCTGTGATATATGTAAGCGGATACGGAAGTATCGTCCACTGCGAATTTCCGTAATGCTAACTGCATGCTACAATGGAAAAAAATTATGCGTGTTATATAAAAATGCGATTACTGGATATTTCAAGTTAAAAATTTCCTTAGCGAAAAATGTCGATTACTTTTTCAACACTTACCGGTCGAAACTAGTACTTTTCCAAATAAAGTCAACGACAAAGTTACTGATACATTCGGTTGGGGCGCCGGAATTATTTTTTAACTCAATTCCGACTTCTTCTCCGTAATTGTCAGGAATTTTGATCACATGACCGATGCCTGACCAAGGCTTGTGAAGCTCGCCCAAGTAGCGAAGTCTTAATTCATCTCCGTGCATTAATTTCATGTCGCCGTCAGTTTTCGCTAGCATGAAATATGCGATTGTTTTTTTGTTCAGACCAACGTCCCACCGAACTTCGATGTTTTCTTGGGTTTGAGACTCCTTTAAACGTTTATCGTAATCCGCTTCCAGTTTCACGAGAGGACCAAATATGTTCTGATACTGATATCCATCTTCGTATCGCAGAAGTACCTGTTGCGGTTCTTCGTCTACTCCGGGCTTTTCAAGGTCTTGGAAGGTCGCGTCCACGTTATCGCGCCACAATTCTTCTAGTTTGTTAATTTGTTGGGCAGAAATCTGTCTGGCTCGTAACTGTTCCTGTTCGGATGGGATTTTCACCAACCATGCTAAAAAGCTGCGATCTTCGATCAACGGTTTCCATTGTTCTTGATCCCTAATAGATTCAATATTATTATTTTCTAATAGGGATATCTAAAAATTCATTATTAATTGACTTATGAATGTATAAATAACCGAGACACACTTACCAGTTCATGTCCTTCAAGGAACTTTGAGCCGCGCACGGTTGTCTACAAAGTAACACAACAACAGAGTCTGCCTTTGCAGGAATGAAGCCAAGGACAAAAACATTTCTAACTGAACAAGAGTAACATTCCAGAACAGTTTCTCCCAGAGGACCATCCCTGGAATGTAACAAAATGATATCAAGAAATTATGCAAACAAAATTAAAGCGACAATGCAAGGTAGTGAAATTCAAATATTGAATAAAGTTCCATACCTGTGCAGAGTGACTTCCTTGTGTTTGGCACGGACAAGGTGATTAATAATATGTGACCCAGATGTGTTTCCACGTCCATTACAGAACCATTTCCTGCATACATTGCACATAACAACGCATGATGCCTCGTGAATTCCACAATATTTACATGCATGTTCTGGTAAGTCACGATTGTAATATGCTTCCTCCTCTTCTTCCTCGAACTGTAATTCAGCAAGAGTCTGTGCAGCTCCAGATATCTTCAGGTCTAAAGACGAACCACCGCTCGTTCCATTAACCTAAATAAAAATCTTTATTAAAAACTTGATGAATAAACATTTTTATTCTGTATTAACCAACTAGATATTTATTTTGATGATTTTACTTTCCTCATATTTCACTTAGTGTCTTCATTTTGTTTGTAAAAATAATGTGCAACACTACAATTTTCATGAACCAATACAATACATTATCACAACCGTTTCCATGTTCAGTCAAAAGCTGATCACAAAATAAATATGAACTAAGTATGCAAATTTTTATGTAAAGTAGTTATTTATCTAAATAAATTCTAACTACTTGTAGCACATAATCTATTATTGCATAACTGTATGTTTCCTTGTCAAAATAAGTAAACAAGGAAGTAAACTGGTCCCACTATGGAATACTATTCATCTTGCACAACAATGCGAAATAAGATTCCACACACATGAATCTCCTAACCTCTTAATATTGTAAAAATCATTTGAAAAATCTAAATATGACAAAAAGAAAACATGGTAAGAATGGAATGGGTATTAATTCTGATTGAGAATACAAAGAAATGATCACAAGGAAAGAATATGAAATCGAAAGAAAAGTAGACATGGATTCTGTTATATTATTCCTGTCATCCATTTCTCTGCAACATTTTAATTGTAATAAAAATAGATTGCTTGATAAAATTGGTGTCTCAATCAATATGTTTGCTACAAGTATCGCGTATATAAAATACTCCACTTTTTATATGAAAGTCTAAGATGAAATGAGATCTATGGACCAACATGACATTCAGAACATTCGAGTGGCTTAATTAATACATGTTAAATGTACATGATTAAAAACATTCGCTACATGAAGTTTCTACAAATGTAATATACTTCGAGCCAGACATTTTCCAATTGACCAACAATAGCAAATATGTTAGTCTCGTAAGTATTACTGGTAAAGTTTGTGTAACTTCCAAACAAAGCATAGTTAAGCAGTGATCACTTCTGAATAATAACTCACAATTGACAGATTAATCTGCGATTATAACATACATTTTCATTCATAAATCGACAATTGATAATTTTTCGTAGGTAATCGTGTTTGGTTAGTTGTTAATCAGGATTATTGGGTAATCACGATAGTGAAATAAGGTTTGCTCAACAGTGGTGCGCGGTCACTACACAACAACGTGGGACTCGACGTGCTATGGAATTGGCAAGAAGCACGGTGAAAAAACGAGGTTAGGCGGTTACTGCCGCGTGACTACGGAAAATTAATAAATCTCCGGCGATGAATGAATAGGGAAATGGAAACGTGATATAGGTTAGAGATTGAATTCGAGGAAACATATGACGAGTCGAAAAACCAACCTGTACAGGCTGGCTAGGTTGACTTTGAACAGCATCGTGCTGGGAGGCCTGAGTTTGACTCGGCGAGGGTAAGGTGAAGTCGGTGAAGTCGAATTCGCTACCCTGCGTGTCGGCACCGATCAGATCCGCTTCCTCTGTGTCGAGGAACGTGAGGGTCTGACTGCTGGGCCCGTACGCGTCGACGCTCATCCTGGTACGATACTCGACGTCCTTTTCGTGTTCCGCTATGGATAGACTGACCCACGGCTCTGTGAACTCAGCGAAACACCGTCACGCGCGATAACGCCGCGGCACCGAGATACGCTCGCGAAACTGCTCGTACCAGAGAAAACGGAAACCAACCAACGTGTACCAAGTGAATGGGTTAACACTTTCGACGAAAGTGGCCCAGAGAATTCTACGCCATACTTTGTCTCGCGCAAGTCTCGCGCCCACCAACACCGACACGAGTCGCACACAGCTAACTTTTCTTCTTTGCGTTCGTCGGGTGTTACGTCATCAGCTGATCTCAAAGTGCGTCGAGCCGAGAAAAGGTTTTTAGGGGATCTCGGCGATTTCCCTCGCGAGAGACACTGAGAAACACGTCGATTGGCGGCTTTTTCGCGATTCGATCCACCGTGCCGATTACGCTCGATGCATTTATCGGTCAAACACCGTCCGATAAGGGACGGATTGAATCGCGACGCGATAGATGGCGACACCAACATGGTTCGGTGTCGGTGGACTCATTGGCGGGAAAAACATCCTGTGCTACAGTTGGTCAATTATGTTTTTTGCTTGAGTTGGTATTCTTGGAAGATGTCATTCATAAATGGTTCATTTCACTTATTTGTGAGGGAATGGACTTGCTATGCGACTGAAACGCCTTTTGTTACAATCTTACGTTGTCCTGTTTTACAATATTTATTTCCTTTAATAATTTTACTAATACTACTTCATCTAATAACTGTTTTCTTGTTACCTCTTACACAAGTTCACATCGCTGGACTATCTTCACAACAGAGAAAAAAGGGGAATGTGATAATTGTCTTACCGAATAGTTTATTGTCGAGTTTTTCTATTTACGTACATACATGAACGTTACCGTTATCGAAATCCTATTGCTACAATAAAAATAATAAATACAAAGTTTAATATTATATAATATATACAAAACACTTGTCATCTTCGAAGTTCTATCGACTTCTCTGTATTCCCTAGTAGCATTACTTTTATAATATTTATATCGAATTTATCGTATATCTCTCAAAATAATACCGTCTTAACGCACATCGTGCAATATACACGATGTATCCCTATTTGCTTCCGGATATTATACAGTTTCTTTTTCATTTCGCTAGACCGGAAGTCGATCGTTGTAGATTATACAAACATGAAGGTTTGCAGGAATAAGGAGACAGCTCCATCTTAGGAAATGTAATATTTCACTTGGTGAAGATGGAGTTAGCACGAGTAATAGTATGGTTTCTGAATAGATGGCATTGCATGTCTAATATGTTAGACGCAATAAAGAGGTAGCTCTACAATATATTTATATTTTGTTTATAAAAGAAACGTGCTACCAATAAGTCATAACGCGGGGAAGTAGGAATAAACATTTTCTTCTTTTTTTTTTATAAAAAGGCACATCGTACTTGTTGAAAGGAAGGTATAGGAAGGTGGTTTTAATATCCACTAGTCATATTTATTACTCCAAATATCAATTGACTACGAAATTATAGAACAGATGAAAAAGAACTTGATTTTTAATTCGTTTTTTTTCGCTTAACTCAAATTACCGGAAAGTGGAGCTACCTCCAGCAGTCTTTTCGACGCGTCTAATTGTGACGTATAAAAATATTTATGAGATCAGTCTTGTTATGATATATCGATTAAAGGTAATCGATTCAGCTGATTTGTCGTTTGTTAGCCAAAGTTTCAAAAGTTTATCAAATGACTGATCACGACTGAAATTTAAAATCAGTTCATCGTGAGTAGCAACGGTAATAGTCATGATGATTTATACCAAGAGTCGTGTGTCGAGTTCCAACAATAGCCGTACGATAGCGCTGTAAATGAACCACATTCGCTCTTCAATTATCATTTAACCCTTTGCAATTTTCTCAATTGGGAGAGTTAATTTCAGTTACATACAGCGATTGTTCCAAATTATTTCCGTTAAATTCCCAATACTGGTGGGAAATAATTCTAAACAAACTGTTCCTCTCTTCCAATCGAGTTCCATTCTTAGAATAACAAACACCGATTCCATCTAGCGAACTTTTAACCTTTTCCGACCCGGAATCTAGATACTATTTTCACTCAGGTTCCGCTAATTAATAAAGGTGTATTAACGAACGTCGGTACAAATTTGTATATCTGACAACGCTATCACCGCTAAGATAAGACTGGTTCCACTGCAAGCGAGAAATAGTGAAAAGTTATTCCCCTAAAGTTTTTGAAACCTCTTAATCCGTCATCGTTATCGGCCTCTCTCTCGTTTCCTTTCATCACACTACAAAAATGGCACGTGTCTACTGTTCGTCAACGCCTCCCCAACCTTCCTCACTCGCTAAACTGTACTCGTTACTTATAATCAACGTAGACGAATCCCAATAAGGATCACCTAGCAGTTGGAGATTCTCGTTCAACCTTGTCATGAAGTCCGACACAAACAGCCACTGACCGGTGAAATAATCTTCGCTACTGTTGATCACGCAACAGCTGTACCCAACAAACGTCAGCAGAGAAGCTTCGAGCCTATAGTCAGTATTGAGGATTCGGTGAATTTTTCTGAAAACTGGTCTGTTGGTTCTGCTGCAAGGGTCCCACTGGACTGGGTCTGCCTTGCTCGCGGTACTGTGGTGGACCAGGTGGGCCGTTAGGTTGGCCAGACGGTCCTGGAGGTGGTCCAGGAACTTTGCCATAATTTCCCCGTGTGGAACCTTGATAGCTACCGTACGCAGAGTCATCGCTGCGCCTAGAGATATGTCCGTACATGCTTTCGGGTCTCCTAGAATTGGCAGCGTTGTCAGAGGTGGCTGTTATCGTGCCATTCTGGTGTTGCGGTGGCTGTTGCTGTTGTTGTTGCTGCTGCTGCTGCTGCTGCTGCTGTTGCTGTTGTTGTTGTTGCTGCTGCTGCTGTTGCTGTGGATGATGATTCTGTCCCGTGGACTGAGAATTGGATACCGATTGAGAGGTGTTCTGAACGCCTGGAGGAGGAGCAGGGGCACGTCCGTAGATGCTAGATCCCGTGGACACCCCGTAGATCCCGTTCTCTCGGTTGCTTAGACTCGTGGAGATTCCCCTGATACCGTAAATGCTTTGTGTGCACTGCTGCAACTGATTCTGCATGTTTTGATTAGTGCTGTTGTGGTTCTGCGTGCTCTGGGCCTGTCCGCCGGGCCCAGTTGGTTGCTGATTGTTCTCCCTGGTGTTTTGAGAGGCTGTCTGTCCGATTCTGATGGGGTACAAGCTCTGAGCAGGCACCAGCGGTCCTGGCTTCGGGATCATCAGACCGTCCCGAGTGCCAGTGGTAGATTTGGCGTAGACGCTCTGGGAACGGTTTAAATTTGCGCGTGTCAGAGGTGGTGACTTGCAGTAGAGGGACTTGGTCCCTCCATAAATGGACTCGACGCGATCCAAGGCTGATGGAGGCGCGCTGTAGATCGACGCAGGGGCCCCAGCGACTGGGCGATAGGTGGCGTACGCGCTGGGGAATTTGGGTCCGGTTGGTTTGTCCAGGTCGTCGTAGGTGTCCTCGTCCGACCTCAACGAGGAATTGTCGCCGTCGTCCATGTCGCGTGGATCCCTGGCCCGTCTCGGACTCAGCACGTACTCGTGCAACAAAGCGGCTATCGCGCTTCCGGACAATGGTCCCACCCAGTAAACCCAGTGGTTGTCCCAGCGATTGGTCACGAACGCTGGCCCCAAAGCTCGGGCAGGGTTCAGGAATGGACTCTGAAAATGGAAGAAACTCGGAATTAGCGGAACGTACCTCGCGTTAACGAACGAGAATTATCCTCGGGTCGTTTTGAGCACAAGACGCCTAAGCGTTTATCGCGTATGCGTTGTGGTTTCGAATTTGTTGTTTTTTTTTTCTTTTTCGGTGCTTGCATTGTACACGCGTTCCCGGAGCAGGTGGGATCGCGATCGAGCTCTCCTCTCTCTTTTTTTCATCCCTCTTTCCCTGCCACGTCTCTGCCAACTCGTCGAACCCTCTGTCTTTCTCAGCGCGACTGCAGGTGCTCTTTAAAGACGCAAACGTTGGGTCCGATTCGAAAGAGATCAGGAGACGCTTTGGATGTAGACCGGTTACACGAAGGGAAGTGAAGCAGAAGGGACGAGGAGGAGGAGGAGGTGGTGGTGGTCGTGCACAGCAGAAAAGAAAAAGAAAACGAGTAACTGCTTTTTTTTTTTTAGACACATCGAAGTAACAGAGATGGGCAAAATTTAATTCGTATAAGAATTTTGTCCATCTATTCGTGAATCACTTTTCGACAGCGAGTAGCATGTATGTACTTCGATGGAACACGATCCCAAGTAAACGAACATACCGAAACTAAGGTGGACGCTGTGTATGCTGCGGCCAAAACGCCTGCTGGTTTCGAGGCCATGGAGATCGACAGCGGTTTGGTCGATTCAGAAGTGAAATGGGCCAAAACGATCAGCACCGAAAGTGCCAGTTCCACTAACAGTCGCTCGATAGCCCCACCTAGACGACCCGGAGATGTTAGGGTCTGCGTGTTGGATGGCGCAGACACTCTGTAAACAAAACAACAAAACAATTAAACATTATTCGGGATAGTCTGACAAATCATAGAGAAGAACTTCGCGTCATGTGCGGCCTATTTACTCGAGTGATTCAAGTAAAACTCAAGTAAAGCTCAAGTAAAAATAAGACTTTATTCGTCAATTTATTGTCATTCAAGATTTCTTAAATACAAAAATTACGAAACATCCACTAAGAAACGTTCGTTCGAATACCCTTTCGAATATTTGTCCTCGAAAAATTCAGAAATCTCCACCTTTTTTCGGACTATCCCAGGCATACACGTATCTACAGCATTCATTTATGGAAACCAGTCGTTTTTTTTTTTTAAATTTTACTCGAGTCTCCCCCCGTTTTCATCGTTCCTATCGCGAATAAAACTTCGCCATTGTTGACCGTTTAATTGCTGTCCATCGCAGTTTACAGCCCCGAATAGAATGAAAGGTCGCGAAGTCTGTGACCCCGTATGATTGTACGAAGCGAGAAAATTAACGAGGTTTTATGCAAAAGAAACGTACAGAGAGGGGCACTAACGCTGTAGTCGGTGTCGGAGGGGGGCCCGAGAATACACCGGCTAATATAAACATTACACCACAGGGACCGACTTGCCGCGGGGGGCTTTTACGGATGGTGTCGCTGGTCTGCGTCATTTTCAATAGGAAAATCATCGTATATTATACGGCGGCGCGCGTCGCTGTCACATCGAATGCCATATGCGAGCCTCGATTTTCAGGAACAGATCGATAATCCTTCTCTTTAGTTTCGTTACGATTCAATCTTTCATTCTCGCGTGTTTTCGCCGTGATTTTCACAATTTCTAGCACAGTAGCAGTATATTTCTAGTACCTCATTTATACAAGCAAATTATGCTCGGGTTTATTGAAATAATTCTTCAGAATTGTTCCATCTTCTTTCGTTTTTTTT